AATTCCACCGTGGATTATACCTGAGGCCAATGTAGACTTAACTTTGTTACACAGAAGGAAATTAGATAAAACATTCATATGTAACTCAACAATAGTACAAGAGTACATAGAGAAATATTATGATTATGTAAAAATTTATACAGATGCTTCCCAGAGTCCGTCAGGTGATACAGGAGTAGCAGTTATAATTCCAGAATTTAAACTTAACATAGGGAAGAAAGTGAATGAAGGACTCTCTATTTATACTGCAGAAATGGTTGCAATAATGTTGGCAATGGAATGGGTAGAAGAAACAAGACCTTTAAGAGCTATCATCTGTTCTGATTCAAGCTCATCATTAATCAGTTTACAAAGAAGTCACTCAGAAAGTTGTCCAGATATTTTGATAGACATTCAGCAACTATTATATTGGATTCAGATGATGGGGTTAATTCTTGTGTTTCTATGGGTACCAGCACATATAGGAGTGAAAGGAAATGAAATGGCAGACAAGAAGGCCAAAGACTCTGCAAAGGGAAAATAAATTAATGTAAGAGTATCTTTTAGTAAGTCAGAGACTAAAAGTATTATTAAAAGAAAAATTAGAGAAAAATGGCAGAAGCAGTGGGAAGAGGATGTAAAAGGAAGATGGCTCTATAGAATTCAAAGGAAGGTTGGAGAAAATAGAAGAGGTGGAAAGAATAATAACTCGGCTACGGTTAGGTCATTCAGGACTTAATGCAACGCTACATATAATGGGGAAACATGACACAGGAAGGTGTGAGTTTTGTGGGGAAAGTGAAACTATAGAACATGTAATGTCTGTCTGTAGGAAATACCAGAAAGAAAGAACAGAAATGATAACGAGTCTTGAACGAGAAAAAGAACAGTATAATCTTTTACACTTATTAGGGAAAAAATATTTTGATGCAAGTCTTAAGATTATTTTTTGTTATCTAATAGTAACGGGGTTAATTAAAAGAATATAGTTTTTTTTTTTTTTTTTGCTTTTTGCTTGCTAGTCCTGATTCACACTCCTTACTGGTGGTGGCGGTAATGCACCAAATGTTGTTTGCCAACCGCCATAAAAAACCAAGAAGAAGAAGAAGAAGAAAGTCTGTTCTTCACAACATGTTTGTAGAAGTGAATCATGGCAGGAACAAAGGAGATTTCTGAGGAGCTCTGTGAAAGAGTTGTTGATGCTCATCAGGCTGGAAAAGGTCACAAAACATCTGTAAAGAGTCATGCCCTTCTGTTTATCCTTACGTTGACTTAGTTTCATTTTTTGGATAAAAATAAAAATGTGTCACAATTTAACATTTTCTGTTCTTTAACTAAACATTAAAACATTTATTTAATACAGGTGGTGATTTATTTTTATAATGGACATTAAGACAGAGCTGTAAAGTCTTTCTTATGCACTTTTCTCTCTCTGGCAGTCCTTTCTGACCAATTCAGAGGTGGACTCTCCCACAGTGGAGGACAGGAAGGAGAGAGGGAAGGAAGACCATGAACCTGTCTCCATCAGAACTTCAGACACTTGTCTAAAGAAAAGAGTTACTGCCATTCCTGTAGGAACACTGCACACACTTGACTTTTACCACAAGGGGGCATCAAATGACATGTTTTCATGTTGCTTAGCCAAGTTCTTTATTTTTTGTCAATTTTAGCTATGTCTACTGCTGCAAAATGTTTCTGTAAAGAAGGAGTTTAGAATTAAATTACAGATGGCACATTAAATGCTTGTTCCCCCTCTCTGAAGTGTTAAGACACTTAATTTTATGTCTGGGCAAGAAACTGCAGCATTCAGCACACCATCACATATTTGATTTCATTTAATTCATTTTTTGGATAATTATTATTATAAGCATGACTTTTAGGTTCTTAAAACACAGACATGTTTATACACAGATATATAAAATAAAGAGTTGATGTCAAGAAAAAGAACTAAAACAATGTCCCCTATTTGTGCCAAATGTCTGATTTGTGTTAGGTACCAGACAGTAAAGCACCACTGTCCAAGCCCTCTGTCCTGTCCCCACCAAACTCTGGCCAGCGCTCTGTCTCCACGTCCTCCTCCTCGGGTATGACCCCATCTCCAGAGGTCCGGCACTCACCATTGACGCCCCCGTCACTGGAGGAACTCAAGAACCAATTAAGAGACTTGAGAGCCTCTATAGATCTGCTGAAGACCCAGCACAAGTACATGCTCCTCACACACTTGCATTTCTGTTGACATATTTATGCAAATGCACAAACACACACTGTTTGTGTTGATGTATTTCAGGCAGGAGATGAAGCAGCTGGCCAGCGCGCTGGACGAAGAGAAAAAAATGCGAATTTGTTTACAGGTGAGAATTAGAGCAACGGCAGCAACCATATTAAAAAAAGAGCAACGTTTTCAAATTCATGTCATTAATAGCCTGATGAATGCTCAGTAATCCAGGTAGAAAAATCTAACAAAGTTAAGTCAGGTCCTCTGGGTGGATTAAAAATAGTAATAATAATAATAATAAAAAAATTTAATTGTTGAAACGTTTCATCTTTTATCCAAAATACTTCTTCAGTCTGAGGAGCTGCAACAAATTCAGTCTTATAAATAGCACCTAGCATAGTGATCAACCAGTTTGCTGGTGACAGTCAGAACTAACTGGCTAGCTGTCACTATTTGGCCGATAACCGATACCAATACCGATATATGTTTTTTTCCTAGACCTACTTACAGAGACTACAGTGTTATTTGCTGTGGAATTAAAATACTATAATATTCTGCATGGTCTTTGGCAGTTTGGCCTGCTACCAAATGCAGATGCCAAAAAGGGGACTGAAAATGATGTAACACTTCAACTTGGATTACAGTATGTTCAATGTCAAATTTATTCACAACATTTAATCTCTCTAACAAAATGACAACACTCGAACAATGCAGATTTGTCAATCTAAATCTAAACTCCACGTCGCTTGTGATGTCATAACATGCTGGTGCTGCAGGCATCCTTGTCAATGGGTTGTCATACAAAAACAGCGCCTTTCATATATATATATATATATATATATATATATATATATATAT